GCATCATAAACGTTTTTATTCATTTCTTTTTTTAAAGATTTTACCTGTAAGTGAAATTTGTCCTTGTCCCATTTGTTTCACTTAGCATAATACCATCTAGTCAGACATTGTAAATGGCATCTTCTGTTCATTTAAGTTTGAGGGGAACTGGCTTAACTATTTTGTGCCAATCTGAGAGAGAACAGGTGATCACTGTAGAAGTGAAGTATAGGAGCACTATCCACTCAAGAACAAAGCAGAGGATGCCAAAAGGAATCGTCTCTAGGATTTGGATTGAAATCCAGAAATGGAAAAAAAAAAAAATAGAGCCTGAGAAAGCTGAGTATAATTTTTGGGTGCTGTTCTAGCAGAGGAAGGGGATGACTGTGAAACAACAGGAAACATTACATGTGTGTTACCTACTTACTATAGAGGGTCAAAAACACCAATGAATGAGGCCAAGCGTGGTTAGTATCTTCTTCCTAACTTTCCATTTCTTATCCTTATTTTTCTATGCCATTACATAATCATTGAAAATACTTAATGGTTTCCTACTAGTCCGTCTTACCTAATTTGTTAACTATTTCCCTATTATTGGACATTTAACTTATGGCCTTTTTTTCTCCTATTACAAATCATGCTACAAAGAATACATACTCTTGAACATCAATCCATATTAATATTTCTGGCTATTTTCTTGGGCAAGCTTCATAGGAAAAAAAATCCTTTGGACAACAATCATTTCCTTTCTCAAATCTCTTATTACTATATCATGAGTAACTTAAATCCAAAAATGAGTAACTCACACCATCAGAAATAATCTTATTTTAAATTAAAGCTAACAGAACAGATTTTTTTAAGAAGAAGTTGATCTCAGAGGGTAAAGAAATTAGATGTCATTTCAAAACTTAAGAAACATACAGAATTTTGGTATGTAAAGATTTTAGTATCCTCAATACCTACATTTTAGATTCCATTAGATATTTTGAAATCATGAAAATATAGGACATTGTAAATTTTGCAAAATTATTTGACTCCACTTAAGGTATTTCTGTTTTGTTTGGGAAATAAGTTCTTAAAGCACCAAGAAAAAGTCAAGATGTACTTTTTGTTAGCATATCAGCATGGTTTGGGCATCTAAGCACTACACAAGAGTCCTACTCCATAGAGCTCACCTAAGATTGTAGCACCTAGTGATGTGCTCACGGTAGATCTACAGTCAATTTACCATTTTCCAGAAAACATGGTCATTATTACTTCATTCATTTTTCTCAGCCCTTAAGTCCAACCACATAACTGCAGAGCTCAAACAGACAGAGCACATGTAACTGAACTCAACAAGTTTATCATTTCCTGGTCACTGGATTAATAGCTTTAACCATGAGCATGGAGAAATGTGGAAGCCAACCACGCCTGAACCCTTTGAGTTCCAGGTTTTATTTTAGGGAGAATTAGTTCTCTTAGCTCTAAAAAACATGGTTTCTAGTTTGATAACTTCTCAGAGACAAAATATATAGTAATTTTAATTTCTAATGATAAACCCCAGGAGCTACAGGATTTTGTGTGTATTCCAAGTCCCTGGCACATAGAATTTCCTTCCTAAATTTGTTCCATTCAAAGGAAGACTAACAAAAAAATATACTGAATATATTGAACCACAGTGTGTAAGTTTCTCTTTTGAAGAGAAAATATTTATTTATATAATGTAAAGTGATTTATTTACATATTTGTCATTTGGGGAGGCTGGGACACAGTGGGGTTGCAAATGCTTGACTTTAACTTGGTGGATTTTGAAGTTACATTGCCACCTTGTGGCTACTCACCTGAAGATGTACTTTTCTCCAAAACAAAACCCAAATGCTTTGTTTTGAGATCGATCTTGCCGGAATCCCTCGATGGTGCAAGAAAACCTCTTGTGCTTATGTGTGTGAATGCACACACACGTGCGCACCCCCCCGGGAACGCACATGTACGTGCACACACACCCACACCTCAGGGAACTGGAAAGTAGTGGTTTCTGTTTGGAGACCTGGGAAAGGGATTTCTAAGAATAATCTTTTAATGCAGATAATCTCTTTATGATAAAATCATCTAAGAGCCTATTACTTTCAAATACATGATACTAATATAGTAAAAGTAGTGACATTTACTATAGTATCAGGATTTTAATAATTAAGCATAAAAATGTCCTTCTCTTCACCATCAAGAATCAATGAAGTATAAATATTTTTCTTCCTACTCTGTCAAGCACTTGTTTACATGATAGTATGTATCATTTCTAATGGAATAGGGAAGTAGATGTAAAGACAAGTTACATAGTAAAGACAAATTTTTATAGTTGACTAAGACTAGAAGTTTCCAAAGCAACTTGTTTAAAAAGAAAATCATAACTTAGTATATGGGTAACATTATCCATTAAGATTTATTTCTAGGGAGCAGAACTGCACATTTAATAGAGAACAGAATGTAGGAGATGCTGCATAAAAAGTGCTTTTAAAGTAGTAGTGCAATTTTTTATTTTGGAGAGAATTTAAAAGGCAGTAATATCTTAATGTTCTCTTTAACAGGTAATGTATACTTTAACAATCTCTTCCACTTTGCTTTAAAGTCACATATTGTGTAGGATTGATGCAATTAATTTGGGAATAGAGCTTACTGATATAAAATCCTTGTCTACAGCTATTCTGACACTAGGAAAGAGGGAAAGACCATTTTCTAGGTAACCTTTCACTCAGATCATGTCTGTATTCAAAGATTTTGTATGCATATTAACCCCTGCAGTCTCCCATGCTAGGAAAATCACTTAGTTGTAAAATAATGATTTTAGTCAAGGAAATGAACCTTGGATTCATTTATGTTCATTCTCATTTCTACTACAGGCTAAGGCTTACAGAGCCCCCGGACCTTTTTTTCTTTATATATAATTAGCGTTCATTGTGGAGAAACTACAAAACAAAGACAAACAGAATTAAATGACCTGTAATTACACCACCTAGTGATGACCACTCTTATACATTTTGGTTTATCATCCAAAAACTTTTTTTTTTAAACCTGTAGGTCTTGGTAGGTATCCTCTTAACTTTCAAGGGGATATCTAGACAAGTGATTCACAAAGCACAGTCCCCTTGGTATGACAAAGGGATGCAGGAGGTAGAAACCAAATCTCAAACAACCTGAGCCACAAATTATAGAAAGTAATATTGGATTATAAACCAAACTGAAAAGAATACCATGAGTCCCTACTGATTAAAAAACAACAACAACAACAACATTTGAATAAATAGAGGAGAATATAAAAGTCTCCCAAATGGGCGATTTCCAAATAATTTCTGTAGATACTCTTTACCTCTTAACCACAAGCTGTATGTAATGACTTCCTCCAAAGAGTATAATCTGGAAAAGTGGGGAATGGGGGCTTCCTAGTGCAGAACGCTGACAAACACTACCTCAGCCAGGTGATCAAGGTGCATATCAGTCATAAATCATGTTAATAACATGTACCTTTGATTGTATTGAGAATGGCATTACACTTCTGTTGTCTTACTTGAAATATTTCAGAATTTTAGTCTAACCCCATTAGGAAAACATCAGACAAACCCAAACGGAAAGACAGAAAAGACCATTAAGTTAAAAACTAAGGAAATCTGAATAATGCATGGACTTTAATAACATACCAATATTTGTTCATCAGCTATGACAGATTTACCATAGTGATGTAAGATAATGTAGTAATACAGGAAATTAGGTGCATAATATATGGGAATGCTCTGTTCTTCACAAGTTTTCTGAATATCTAAAACAATAGAAAGCTTATCAAAAAAGATTTTTTTAAAAAAATGAAGTGTGATCCCCAGAGTAGCACCAAGAGCAGAATCTGGGATCTTGTGAAAAATTCAGATTCTTGAGTCAGCCAGCCACCTGAGAGTTCTGATTTCAGGTGCTTCTCATTTTAGCTGAGATCATGTGACTTTTTCTTTAATGCCCAGGAGATGAAGAATCAGATTAGGCCTCTTGGTAGCATCTGATTATCCAATTGTCACCTTGTTTTACAGGAGCATGATATGCCTCCGTACCTTCTCAGTCTTCTCCAATCCCCTGATCTCCAAGGCCCCTTTCAGACCCCACAGTGATCGTGTTTTCCAGAATATCGCTAGCACACACATGTCTACCTCTGATATCCCTACCTATAAGACCTGTACCAATTTGTACTTTAAATCTCATTGTGAATTCTCTGGAGACAGAGGTGACCTTGGGCAAATTCTATGATCCTGCTGTACTGGAGTTTCTTCATCTGTGATTTGAGGATGATAGAAGAATATCTGCCTCATGAGTTTGTTTTTGTTTTGTGAGGATTGGCAGTTAATACTCATAAGATGTTAGGAATAACATCCAGGAATTAATGAGGACCCAATAACTGTGAGATGGTGCTAGTATTGGTGGTGGATTTCTTGCCTTACAAGTATCTCTTCACTTCTCCCAAAGCAGCAAGTTTGGGTATACAAAATGATGGCTCAATAAAGATTGAGTGAATTGAATGGGTGAACTGAACCCGTAAAAATACTACTTCAAATACAGTGACCCTGCCACTGTGACTGGTCTTCTAAGGCACATGACTTTGAGCTGTGATGTTGGAAATATTTCGTGTTTACATAATACCATTAGAATAGAGCTAGAGAATCGGTTGGAGAATCCCTAAACCTGGGAGTGAATTCATCTTACCTGAAGTTTCACCCTCTACAGTTGTGCTGGTATCAACAAATACACCATTTTAATTTTGATCTAAGATTATTCTACTTCTTGAGATCCTTAGGTTTCTGTTAGCCTAGCAGATAAATAGAAAAGAATAGATAGAAAAGAAATCAGCACCCCAGGGAGTGTTCTAGCAGCAGGTGAGTAAGTGACTATCTTTGCCTAATGGGCTTAGATTTTGCTTATTTGCTCTTTGGAACAGGTTAAATAGAAATTCAACAATTTGTGTGCCATAAATAGACAAGCCCTGAGTGTTTTGGTTTGTTTTCCAGATGGGGATTAATGTGGTGGACTCTGCAGTATCCGGATTAGGTGGTTGTCCTTATGCAAAAGGTGCCTCTGGGAATGTAGCCACTGAGGATTTGATATATATGCTTAATGGCTTGGGGCTCAACACAGTAAGTGATTTGACATATTTTAATATTCATGTATGCCTTGCAGATACAAATGGGAATGTGTCTCAGACTTGGGAAGCAATTTTGAGGTCAAAGTTTTACTACACGTTTGCTATCTGCTAAAATGCACAGTGGGACAGCACAATAAAAACCCTATAGGGGGCTTTATAAAGTAACTTATTGCTATGGCCCCATCACCAATAATGCTACCATTTCACATTTTTATCATGCTCCATGACCTCCAAAGTACTTTTTCATGTATTGTCTGATTTGATTTCACACACTTTGTGAGTTAGAGCCTGTGTCTTTGCCGTTAGGATTGTAATTTTTGCAGTTTTGTTTTGGATGGATGTTTTCCTAGGAGGGAATGGAGATCTTGATTTTCTTGCAGTGACAACTGGAGCTTCTGGCAAAGAGCCCAGGGCACTATTGAAATGGTCAGGGAAAAGGAGAGCTTAATGTTACTTAGTGCATGAGTTACTGTTCAAGAAAAATCTCTCTAAAAAAGTACCTGACAAGTCACATACTCTACAACATCCACCTAAATTAGCACTTAGTTTTGCTACATGCTTGTTTCTTTCTTTTTTTTTTTTTTTTTTTAACGTTCATTTATTTTTGAGAGAGTGTGAGTGGGGAAGGGGCAGAGAGCTCTGGAGACAAAAAATCTGAAGCAGACTCTAGGCTCTGAGCTATCAGCACAGAGACTGACACGGGGTTTAAACTCACAAGCAGTGAGACCTTGACCTGAGCTGAAGTCAGACGCTTAGCCAATTGAGCCACCCAGTTGGCCCACCACATGCTTGTTCACATTACTTACGAGTCTGTAAGGCGGGTGTGTGTGTGTGTGTGTGTGTGTGTGTGTGTCTGTCTGTCTGTCGGGGGTACACAAAATATAAAAGGCAAGAAAAAAGTTCACAAATCATTAAAAGTTAAAAATGTTTTCTGAGATGAGAAAGCATCATCTGGATTACAAAATGGAATTGCCCCCCGCTCTCTCAACTTTTCTCTGTCCTCACACTGCTTACATGAAAGGTCCTGCAGTATCACTTGCTACCACCACTTAGATGGCCTTACTCCCCATACTCAATTTCACCTGCAGAGTGGGGTGCCACCATCTTCAAAAAATCTTCGGGGCACCTGAGTGGCTCAGTCGGTTGGGCGACCGACTTCGGCTCAGGTCATGATCTCATGGTTCGTGGGTTCAAGCCCCGCATCGGGCTCTGTGCTGACAGCTAGCTCGGAGCCTGGAGCCTGCTTCAGATTCTGTGTTTCCCTCTTTCTCTTACCCTCCCCTGCTCCTGCTGTCTTTCTCTCTCTCTCAGAAATAAATAAAACATTTATTTTTTTAATGGAAGAATTAAAAAATCTTCCAGTGGCTCCCTGCTTGACCCTCAGGTTCATAGCACTGGATTCCTCCCCTTAGGGTTTCCATGCCCACCTGTATGCTTCTACCTCTGAACCTACTCTGAGGTTGTATAATGATCTTATTTCTGTGTCTAGCTCCCCCCGAAGCCAGTGAATGATTATTACAGCTGTTTCCTTTACACAGATATGCTCAGTAACATTTACTGGGTGACAGATATCACTTGGGACTAAACATCAAAAGCTATTGCCTGTCTCTCCTGGTTAGGAGAAACTATTATTTCATTTACAAAATTCCTTAATCCTCTCTAGTAGAAATGTATGACCATAAGTTAGAAGACTGAAGTGAACTTAGTTGATGCTTATGCTTATGATGTATTGGGTCATGTTCTAGAAGTTGGGGGCTGAAATGCAAATAAGCCCTGGCTTCATTCCTAAGAATTCACGACTTAAGGAGAGGATTGTTACACTGGGTAGGAGTTGCAATTAAACCAGCTACCCGGCTAATAAGCCAAGATCCTCTGTAGGATCTGTGTCACTATGGCTCCCATGTCGAATTACCAAGAGCCACTATTCTGACTTGTAAGATATTTTAGTTGGTTGTTCTTTGTTACTCTTGCTATTAGCACATCAGCACAATTCCTTATTTCTTTCCTGGGTATTCATCCTCCACACTGGTGTGCAGCCTTTTGACTTGCCTTGAAATTCATCATGCTGCCGTCAGAGGATTTCATCCAAAATACAAATGTGAATATGCCTGGTTTCTGCTTGAGCACCCATCAGTGGGTTCTCATTTCCTGAAAAGCAAAGCTGTGTTCTGTCACCTCATTAGGGCCTAGTCATAACTTTCCAGGTCATCTCTGCCCATCATTCTACATATATAACATGACATTTTTTTTTCAGATGTTTTGTACTGTTCTTCTGCCTACAGTGCCCCATACATCCTCCTTCTCAAAGACTCACACTCCCCAGGTAACACTCACATCAGAATTTTCCTTTCCTTGACACCCTTTCCTGACACACTCCTCACTACTTTCTTTTTCCTCAGTGAGTTGACTACCCCATCTCTGCTCTCATAATCAGCTGGGCATATCTCTGTCAGTGTCTTTAATTATAATACAGGACCCCTCCCCCCCTCAACAGGGCTCCATATTGCCTGCTTGACTATAAACAATCCAAGGACAGAAACTTTATTCTACATGAGGTTCTTAAAACACCAGAACATATCACAGTACATGAGACTTATCTAAGCATCTGACAAATGACTCAATATTAAATATGCAATGTTATTTCATAATGTTCTCTGTTAAATGATAGAGAAAGGTCAAAATGAAAATTTTGGTTAAAATGTCAGCAAATTCCAGTATATACTTGTTATCAATGGAATTCTTGGGAAGCAAAGAACACTGGTGACTAAGGTCTTTCTATTACTTCTTCCTGGGTATAACTCAAAAATGAAAGATACATGTAGCTAATTATTCACAAAACTTAAATAGCACTGGATTTAGGATGTCAACTAAGATGTGCCTAACATATTCCAGCTAAAGCCATTCCCAGGACCCAAACAATTAACTCAGACCAAAGCCAATGTTGGTACACTAGAGCAACTTAATAGCAAAATGATATGAGAATCATTTATAAGTGTCACTTTACAAAGCATTTCTCTTGATCATTCCCCAAAAACAAAGAAGTAAACTACAAAGGAAACATTACTCTAAAAGTTTCTAGAGTGAATTGGTTGTATTAAAATGATGATCTCCTTATGATCATTGTTATGAAAAGGCCCTGTGCCTGTGAATATTTATATTTGTCTCTTTTAAGAAAATGACAGACTTATACATAAATATTAAGAATTAATAGCACGGAAGCCTGAGTCTATTTAATTTTAAGTCCATTTAGTTTCTAGTCCATGTTAAAGGAGGACATAGGAGTTTATGAAATGCTACCTGAGGGCAAACCTCTGGGTAATCCACCTAATGCTCTGTCTCCCCTAGTGACAGCACAAGTGCTGGGTGGAGACCTTGATGGTTACCTCTTGCTATACTAAGCCCAAGAGAAAAGGAGCATGCCCTGAACTTGGCCTTCATACCCAACTGCCTATCTGTCATTCATGGATTTATCTAAGCCTTTGTTGATCCTGTTTATGCTTTTAGCCAGTACAACATCACAAACAAGTTCCAGATGTGTACTAAATACTACTTCCTTTTATTTGACCTACAGCTACTTCCTTCAATATCATGCCATAGTGTTTTTGAATATGGTTAAAATAATACATTCACTTTTCCTCCTCCGCCTCTTATAGGTTTATCAAGTTTATTTCTTTACACAGTAAAAAGATTTTCTATCCTAAGTCATTATCTATGAACTCCTCCAAACAATTCTAATTTTAATTGCCTTTCACTGTATCTTCAGCATTGTTTACAGTTTTGTTATTGTCCTTCCTAGAGTTTAAGGTACAACCTTCAATTATACTGAGTTCCTTCAGGTATGGCTAGCCTATGATTTTACAGAAGGGTCAGGTTCAAGATATGCTTTAATAAAACAGAAAAATCTAAAACACTGACTGCAGGATTCATGAAGACACATGTTGCCTTTAGATCAACAATGAGCAACATTTTGTTTAGTAATTTCAAATTGTGAAATAACTACTAATAAAATTAAATATGTTTTTTCTTCTTTCTCCCTAACCCACCTGGTATCCCTTCTTTTCCTTATCAGGGTGTCAATCTTTACAAAGTGATGGAAGCTGGTGACTTTATTTGCAAAGCTGTGAATAAAACCACAAACTCTAAAGTAGCACAAGCCTCCTTCAATGCTTGACTTGAATAAATTTGTGACTTAAGTCTGAGAAGATCCATCTCAGCTACAGACACTCATCTGAAAATCATTACTGTCAAGTTGTTCTGAAATGTGAAGTAAATGACAAGAGTGGGGAAAAAAGATGTAATTTTAATGTGTATTCCGGAATAAATTATGAAATCCATGAAAAGCAATATCCAGTCATTGGTAAATTGCAAGCTGAAGCTAAATACTACGATTTGTAGACCTGCTTTTGAACTTGGAGGAAAGTCTACTCTTTTGCTCTAATAGAAATAACTTTTTAATTTAGTAGATGTGAAAATTGACTTCAGGTTTCCCTAAGTATCAAATACTGTGTTAATACTTAATCAAGCTGGCTTAGCACAGTATACATATTGTCAGTAGTTTATGAGCTTCTGCGTAGTGTGCAAAGTGTGTGGCCTCAGTAGTATGTGTTATGCCTCTGGATCCCAACTTGCCATTTGCCAAGTCTGTTAAATTATGGACCAAGCGCCAAATCTCCATCTGACCCTACATAATTTTTAGCAATAGAACTTTTATATTTCAAGTATGGCTAACATCTGTTAACTATTTCAGTGACTTTATCTTGTTCCAAGAGGCTGTGGTCAATGGCAAGATGCCATACCCTGGAAACATTACGACCTCCCATGTTTGTTATATGCATCCAGTTTACCATACTTTCTCTTTCATCAGGTTTAGTAAAAACCGGCATGGTGTTCCTCAACTATTGAAAAATATAAGGTTCAACTTTCATCTCAATGTCTCAGTTGCAATGATAAGAACAGATTGATACATATAGTATAATCCACTTTGGTAATTTTCAAATCACATCCAAATTGCCCGAGGAAATGTCACTATGATCCTAAGAACAGTAAGGCAGTTTTTATTTCATGAAACCAAACAAAACTGTTTTCACTGATTCCAGGTACTTTGATTAAATCAGATAATTTATGGTTATTTTTAATGTTGAAATGGCTGAAATTTTATCTTTTGCAACAGAAAGAATTGCCAGAAATGCAAAAGTTAATATGTCAAAGTGGAGAGGAGGAGCAGAAAGATTGTGTTAAGAAAAAACATTTCTGTAACCTATGCAAATCATATGGGGACAGAATTATGAACTGTAGGTCTGAATCATCAGTTCTATTATTTATGTAGACTTCTCCGGTAATACTTGGTTGATTTTATCTTTGAATAAATTTGAATATAACTTGAAATATGAAAGTGAGTACTGTGGACTTTCTATAAATATTCATGACAGCTATTGAAATAAAAAGAAATTTAAAAAAAATACAAGAAGTACTGATTACAAATCACAAGGGCAATATATTGGTAACTGACAAAATCGAACCAAATTCCCATAGAAGAGGCTAACTCCTCAGGTTGAGATGGGTATTAGAGCAGAAGCCTGTTATCTTGAGTACTAACTCTTTGCATTTGGGTTAGTGTTGGCAGGGGGGCAATGCAGGGTGCATACAAGATCACAGAACTTTATGGATCTGCCTTCTAGATCTCCCTTTGCCTCTCTAGTCACAGAGAACACAGCCATGTGCACTGGGGCAGTAGTGGCCTGCCTGCCTTAGTGTGCATAGCAGGATATGTACCCCATCTTCTAAAGACTGAGGTTTCTTCTCTTGTGGAGCTATGGAATTCTTAGATGTGAGATATCTGGACACCGATCTTTTGGTACAAACTGCTTATAGAAAGAGCCAGGATCAAAACTTTGCTGTTTTGAAATACAAACCATGGAGTCTTCAAGAAGCAGAGCAAGTAATCAGAAACCCCAGGTGCAGCTTGGCGCACACTTAAGCAGCACAAATATCAATCTGCAGATTCAGTTCTGAGAATACCTCAATGTTTCCTATTTACACTCACCACAAGAAGGTCCATGTTTTACTTATTTGTTATCCTTTCCCCACCCAAACTGTATAAACCTTTCTGCTGAATTAGAGTTTTATTTCTGATTTGGGGTGAAAAAAGTCACTCAAGCATATAAAGGTACCTGAAGTCCATTGGCAGAATCCCACCAAAGCCATATTTCAACTAAGCAGGAAACCCTGGCATCATTGTATGACCCACCCAAACAACCTGCACAGAAATCCATTTCAGTGTCAGCCATGGGGAAAGTCTTTAGAATGGCAAAGCAATTATGACCTTTATTGAAGTACTTATCGAAATAATCTTATAGTATCTACCCTTAAGGAAAATATCCTGTGTTCTACAAAATGTAACATATTTTATCACATGTATATGTTGATGACCTATTACAGATGAAAACTAAGATGAAGTCCTCTGAAAGCTACACATTTTCTAAGTTCCAGATTGATAAAATTCACAAAGCAAATAAATGGTAAACGGACTATGACGTTCTGAGAAAATTTAGCTTGCCTTTTTGTTATTTATTCTGATTAACATTTATTTCCTTTTTAGCTGGACTTAGGTGGCTAATTCATTTGTATACATGTGCATCTTATGTCTCCAAAATGATCCACACCAGGTATGAGAGTGACAGGCTGTACAGCATTGAATAAGTTAGCCACAAATATCATCCCTGTCCGAATTGTCAAGGAGAGATAAAACTAAGGCCTGGGCACCAGCCAGAAATCTGAATTGAAGTAACAGGCCAGTGAAGAATTGCTGTGAATACCAATAATCATTTACAAATGCCTTTTGTAGGTTAGAAGTTCTGTACCATGTGGGGTAGATTGAGAAGTTAAAATAGTTTTGGAGACAAAGAAAAAGGGAGGAAGAGATTGGGCAAGAGAGGGAGGAAGGAGGAGAAGTTCAGGAATGGAGGGAGGGAAGTAAGGTGGAAAACGAAGGAGAGGGGTTTGAGAAACTTTGGTCTGTCTTGAACAACTATAATAGAAAGTACATTCTGATATGGTGGAGTCCATCAGTGAGGCTGCTATAAACTGTACATAATAAAAATCCTTAACTTGATAGGCTTAAGCAACAGAAATTCTCTCCAATATTTTAGGAAAATTTCTCTTCCACCATCACTTAGTTCAGTAGCTCAATTATGTTATAAGCAAAAATCTCTCCCCGTTTTCCTCTTTTCTTATCTCAAGATTTTGGTTCACGTTCAGGCTACTGCTCCCCAGGGTCACAAGAAGGTCAGTACCCTTTCTAGCCTCACATCCTGCACAGTGCTCAGCCACTGGGGAGGGGTTTGTTTTGAATGTTTTTTTTTTTTAATTCAGAGGAATGTTTGCCCACCCCTATCGCAAACTTCCTATGTTTAATTGGGAAGAACATCATTACATGTCACTTCCTTAAAGGTAAAATGAGAAAGGAATAAGCCATTAGAAAAGACCAACTAAGGTCACTGCTCACCATTAACACATCAGTGATGTATTGGAGGAAAAATAATCTGATGGGGAGCACATCTTATGGTGAAATGATAGAGGAATTGAGTTAACAACCATAAGGAAGGGCTATATTTACTTTCCCTCAGGAGCAAAGGTTGGAAACAGAAGTTTTTTAAATTGATGGGTATGGGTTTTAAGGAGAAAGTAGCTGATCCTGCTAATTTTTTTATGAATATAGGCAGTGAGGTCTTCAGGCATTAGGTGGGGGTGGATCGAAGGCTGCAGAAGAATGATAAAGCTTGAAACTCAGAGCATATTAGAATTGAACTCACGCTATCCAAGTTTTCGAAGGGCTGTTATATGCTCAGTGCAGGTGCATGTATGTGTCCTCATGCTATCTTTACAACTTCATTTGACACTCCCATCTACTGGAAGCACTTCCTGGCTTGTGGGGACCACTCTCTGGTCTTATGTCCTCCATCTCTAAATTTTTGCTCTCTTCCTTCTTTCCTATGTGTTTAACTGTAGACTCACACATAGAAATTCACTTACATCACCACCGCCAAAATGTGTTCCACCACCAGCAGGGTTATCATTGCTTGGGACCTTTTGAGAAATTCACAGTAGCAGGTTTTTTGTGTTTTTTTTTATGTATTTATTTTGAGAGAGAGATAGCATGAGCATGGGATGGGCAGAGAGAGAGAGGGAGAGAGAGAGTATCCCAAGCAGGACGTACATGGTCCGTGCAGAGCCTGATGTAGGGCTCCGACTCATGAAACTGGAGATCACAACCATGACCTAAGCCAAAACTGAGTGCCAGATGCTTAACCAACTAAGCCATCCAGGCACCCCTGAAGCTTTGTGTATTCAAAATACCTGTACCACTTACCCCTCCCGCATTAGCCCAATGTCTTTGCTCCTTCAACAAGCCAGATTCAGAGCCACCTCAGGTTCTTTATCTTAAGTTAGTCGTTCTGCCTGTAATGCTCTTTCCCTGGCTTTTAGCCTGGCTCCTTCTTGTCATTCAGATTTAGCATCAATATACCTGCTTAGTAAATCTTTGTGAACAACCCAGTCTAAAGAAAGGCCTCAATTACTTTCTTTCACGTTAACTTAACTTTTATTATAAAATCATTAATTCCTAATTTATGTTTATGATCTTTCTTTTTCCACAAAATATATGTTCCATGAGAAAAAGGGCTTTGTTACCCTCTTTAATTTTACTTCCTTAGTGCTCCGAACACACTGCTCAGGCCTGGCACAGTAGCTGTCTAGTAAATGTTAGAAGCAAATAAAAGTAGAAAGTAGTTTAAATCAAACATTTGAATTTAATCAATGAAAGCATTCTACCTGAACTCTGTCTTTTAAATATATTTCTTAATTTTTCCCTGAGCCCATAGTCATTCTTTAGGGTTTGTCTCCTTATAGTTTGACAGCAATTGTTATTGAAAATACTTAAAATCTATGTTGAATGATCACACTAAGGAATGGATACATACATACACAAAAAGGTTATGAAATTTTAGAGAAAATAATTTTCAGAGAAACAAAACATACTTAAGCAGGAATTAAACCATTAAAATTGGTCCCAAAGGGGTTAATATTGAAAACCTTCCTGAGATGGAAGAAAAACATGAGCTATCTTAAGAGGAGCTCATTATTCCTTTTTATTTCTGCATCTCTTTTACACACACACACACAGATTCATGTATGCATAAATGACCATTCCAGTTGGGCCAGTAAAGCTCAGTTTCATCATGTAAACTTTCTAGAACCCATCCAAGGAAAACCACTGCATTTATAAGTCCACTGTAACAGGTCATCAAGAATACAGTCTTTTAAGTCAGCTGTCATCTGTATAAGTAAGAGATATAAAATTTTCAGAATAATTTGATATCAATGCCTCATTAATTCAGTATTTCTTCAGTATTTCTCATTTATAGGTATTTCAAAATCAAGTCTCAACATAGACAGAACCCACAGTTCTCTATGGCTGACGTATAAACATACTGTCTGTGGTCTCAATTCAGGCTGCATCTTTAATCCATCAGTGGAGAATGAGAGAGTAGAGGGTGTGGATAATAATACTGATACCTGGACTTCACCTCCAAAGATTCTGATTTAGTTGGTCTGGAATAGGACTTGAAGCATGAGGTTTTTTGTTTTCATGTTTTTGTTTGTTTGCTTTTAATGTATACAAGGCAGTCTCCAGTGAAGCCAGAGTTGAAATCTCTACTCCAGGACAGTGTTTTTAAAAATGTGGTTCCAAGACAAGTCTCCATCAGCAACACAGCTTACTTTTTTCCTAGAAGTTTTCTCCAGGTAAACCTGGATCATCCAGGAGTCAGCTCACAAAATCTCTATCACTGATATGTTTATACTTTAGAGATGAGGGGAAGAGATGTAATACCAAATCACTAGAATGTGATTAGAATTTAATAGAAATGCAAATTCTTGGACCCCCAAGTCAGATCTTCTGAATCACAATCTTTGGGTTCTCTAGAGTGAATTTCTTTCTAAAACAGTGATTTACCAGCCTTGTAGTTAAAGGGGAAAAAATAGGCCAGAGTCTGTTTGTTACATGTTCCACATTCATGCAGCAAAGCATCCTTTCAAACTAACACTCATAAACTCCCAATATCCATTTCCAATGTGACAAATCTTATAGGGGATCAGAATATGCAAAACAAATGTCAATGTCTCATGTCACATTCTTCCCCTTGACAGTTTGCCAGCTCAGTAAGATGTAAGTACCACGTGAACAGGCTCATCCTAACAATTTCTCCAGGAACATGGATCAGAGATAAAGTCCACCAGCTTTCTATCTATGGTATTCTTCAAGCTCATTATACGCATAAGAATATATTAAAATGAGTACTAGAGAGCATTTAGGATAGTTATAAAGGAAAACTAGAAATAA